TGGAAAAGGCAAAAATAGTTATGACTGAAGGCAAAAACAAAAAAGTTTCTGATAAAAAGGAAGAACAAAATGTCTCTGATAAAAAAGAAGGACAAAATGTCTCGGATTCGACTGCCACTGATACCAAGAAAAAACCTGAAATGAAGGCTGCAGAGGAAGAAGAACCAATTCGTATTGTATATGACAATGTACATCAATTAAAAGATATTTTAGCTGCAATCAATAACCAACCCGGTCATCGAAAAGTTCTACTTGAAGGTGCACCTAAACAATCAAATACTGCTACTGTTCAAAAATCTAAGGATTCATCGTCTGCTACAGTATCTCCAGCCGCTACTAATACACAAAAAGATTCGTCAACAAAGGAAAAACCAACTGAAAATCAACCAACTGAAAAACAACCAACTGAAAATCAACCAGCTGAAAAACAACCAACTGAAAAACAACCAGCTTCAAATGATACATCTTCACCTGAAGTGGATCAAATTCATCTTAATATTGAAAATATTCAATGTCTTGATGAACTATTAGATCGTATTGATGATGCTGTTCAAAATGTTCCAGTTATGATTGATGTAGAATCTAAAATAGATAAAATTCCAAGTTTGTGCCTATAGGAATGTAATATTTATTATTAACTTGTTTGTTTTTTGTTATTTTATATAGCTCCATCAGAATCAAATGAAAATGTTCAAATTGATGTAAAAACTGACAAACCAGAAAAAATTGACAAGAAAGAAGTAGTAGCTGCTATGAAATTTCAAAAACAAGAACCTGAAATTGAACAGAATAATAATGAAACAAGCGCTACTTTCTAAATACCATCAATGTTTTCATTTTGTTCTATATTGATAAAAATAAATTTCGTGGAATTTAATTCTTTTTTTTTGAAAAACAAGCTGATACTTCATTTGCATGTGCTTTTAATAAATCCAAGCTTAATTAGATTTATTTCTACGATAGATGCTTGATATGAAAAGCATTGTGAACATGATATGATTGACAAATTATTATCTATATGAAAATACTTATTGATAATCGGAGTACTATTTTTGCAAATGTTAATAAGAAACAGTATATAAATTAATAAATATTTCTTATGCTACTTACTAATAAAGTTTTTCCTTTAAAAAAAAATTAGAAATCATCTATTCCAAACTTATGTTTTTCATCTTTTATGACGAACATGGAAACACTTAGCTTCTATCAAAATTAGAATGAAATACTATTTTACTAAGTGTAATAGCGGCATCTATTATGTGTCTTATACTTTCGATAGCGACCATCTCTCCACTTACAAACATACAGGACAAACTTATAGGTTAGTCATCATCAATCAATGCAAGAAATGAAATTTTGTTCTTTTTTTGAACTTGAGTTAAATAATTGTTTATTATATTATAATCTTTTAGTTTATTATTGTCCGTTTAATGTCTGATTTTTTTTATGGATATAAGAAAAAATGTTTTCAAAAAATTTCTATGATATCTAATTATTATTTCCATGAATTCAAATTCCATTTAAAACTATAGACATCATAATCTATTAATCTTATTTTATTTTGAAATATGTCTAAATTTTTCAATAGGAGAATTTAATTTCTTAATTAATTGAAGCATATACAATCGATCAATTTGCTGTTCAATTGAGTGATCTAACACCAACAACAATATATTGCTAATGCTTTATTGCAACTCATCATCATAGAAGATTGAAATGTAAATTAAGAAATATTCTGATTTTTTTTTTTTTGTTTTCATTATATACTTGATTTTTTTTCTGTATAGCAATGGAGTCAAAGAATTTCACCAACTACCACGGTATGAAAATAAATTCAACTATTAATAACGATTGCCTCGCGTTAGGTATTAAAATGAATTTTTAACTCAATCAATTTGTCTTGAAAGAATTGCTTTCACCTAATTTGTTTTTATTGATTCGTATGTTGGATCTCGATCGTCGAAAAAAAACAACTGTTTTACTTTTGATAATTTTTTAGAAGGGTCCATGCGGCATTCAGTTTTCTGTGATTATTTTATACAGGCATAAATATGTTCGTTTTTGAAACAAAAGATTAAACTTATCTCCTGCATTATTAAGTCAATTAGAATACAATTTTTATGAATCATTTAGGAATCTTATAAAGAACCTTATTATAAAGATTCTCATGTATTTGAATTTGATATCTTTAACAAATTTTAATTAATTTTGCGAAATACAAGGAATGTTGAAGTTTAAGGTTAAAAATATCGACCGCCTTCCCCCGCCCCCCCCCCCTCCACAGGTATAACAGGCATCCTTAGCAACGTCTCTCTTTCATCGCACACCATAACAGGCATACCCATAGAAACATTGAAGACTATGAAAGATACCTTAGCAACACCCTCTCCTTTGCATCAGAAGCTGTGACAGACATTGTTGATGTACGATCACAAATCGTATATCAATAATGTCTTGTTATAATATCTTAACTACTTGCTTATTGCATTTCTGGAAGATTAAATAAATTGATGGTGAAGAAATGTATTTCAAAATAAAAACTATCTTTCTGCGATGAGCAACAGCACGTGTATTGTATTTCATATTTTAGTCTCACATTGATTGCGCTAACAGCATTTTATGAAATTGCTTTATCCAATGAATAAATAAATTTTTAATATTTAAGAAAAGTTCGTCTTAGTTTTTGCTAAATCGTCAATTTCAAAGAAGTGTTGAACTCTCGAAAAATCGCATCAATAATGAGTTTTTGAGATTTAATTTATTCTTTTGTTTTTTAGTTTTGCTCATTATGATATAAATTATATTGACTTTTCATCAAACCAACGTTATTTAGTCATATTTTTATCATGTCCAAATCATCTCGAAGCATTTATTATATGGGATGAAATAACTGGACAAAAAATCACGATCATTTCCACTTTAACAATATTATTTTCAGGGTTCATCTTATTTCAAGCGAGTATTCTGTGATAGATGTCGATTGACTACTTTTCTTCAGATGGTCGTTTCAAGATCAATAGTTTGCTAAATAAAGTCCTGATGGTTTATGATATCGAGGTAAATATATTTAAATATTTTTAAGGAACTTACATTATGTTTTTTCGAAGAAAAATATAGCGAACGTAAGTGTTAAGTAGAGATTTTGTGGTTTCCTCTCATATAGCAACCGAAAGTTAAAGATCAGAGCCCAATGAGTATGTTTTCTCTAGCAACCAAGGACAAATAGACATTAGATACTTTCTCGGAGTTCCTTATCAACGAAAAAAAAAACATTGAATGATATTAACAAAAAGACTTAGACTGTTCTAGAATATTTCAAAGCCTTTCTCAAAATGTCAATGGTCGGTATATGTCTGTGAAAGTTCTATTATGGAGATAAAAATTTATATCCAAGATGTCAAGGATGATGGGTAGTTACGCATTGATTTGCCACAGTTCTCATATGATCAACACAAAAAAAGTGTGACCTAATCAAGTTAGAACTTTGTGAAATAATCAATAATATCAGTGTTTCTGAATTTAGCGAGATATATAATAGTGTGTTGAGACGTGCGGTAGACATAATGGATATGTACAATAGGCTTATTTAGCATGCAGCAAGATAAATAGAAAAAGAAATAGAGTACCAGTAAAACTTAGTAAAGAATCCTGTTCAAAATGCAAAAATAAATAAGACAGATCGTCTCTCTGACGATTGATTATTCTTGAAAACAAAAGCACAGTCTGCCAAAGAAGTTTCTCTTTACATAAGGCTAACGAACACATGTGAGGTTCACATTTTAGCCTCAAAGGAGCTACGGTGACAACCTTTTTCTAAGATACTAGTGAATGAGAGGATGTTCTCAGAAGAATAAATGTCTTATTCCTCATTTTAATAGTGAAATAATCGCATAAATTAGATACTTTTAATTATATAATCCATAGACTCATTATTATTCTCTTAGGAGATTGAATCAAATCAAATGTTCGAAATGTAAATCAAAAATGTTTATTTATTAGTACGATCAGATCAACATATACTTTTTCTTTATAATGTTCACATATCGTACATAGACTATCATAAAACTATTACAAAAACTGGTACTACTTTAATTGATAATTGTTTATTTGTTGGATACCAAAATTATTCAGAAATGTTTATAGTAACATAGAACTTACTGTTACTTCGACAATACGGCGAATAACTTTTAAGTTTACGAGCAAACTTTCCCAACTGTCAATTTGATTTTGAGGAGAAAATTAATGAACCGTAAGTTATCATCATGTTCAGCTGCTGGTAGACCCTTCTAGATCGCTTAATCAATATAATCGATAGCTTATAACGCAATGATTTTCTGTTCAAAAGCAACTTGAAAAACGGAGATATGCTCTTGTTAGAAAAGAAAATATAGAATTTAAATAAATAGAAAGAATATTATGTAAATTAGTGTTTTCATTTAGTAATATTTTACCCGAATTATGTTCAAAATCAAAAACAAAAATTTCGTATTGGTCGTATATTTGCACGTACAGCTCAAGATCAAAATAAAGGTACAATTATTTTTATTCATAGCATATTTCAAATATCAATTTATCTATTTTAGAAGAATCTTATATTGTTTTGTTATGAAGTCATCTAATAGTAACACATAACTCATCTAAAATAATCATTAGTAAACTCAATGACATTGTTGTACTTACACGAAAATCTCAAGGACACTCAAAGTGAATTTTTTAGCTCGTATTATTGAACGTGGTGTCATATGGAATAATGATTATAGAATGAAAATTTTCAATTGCTAATGATCTCGATTGATGTTTAATTCGAAAAGAAGATGAAGAATATGTTCACCAGAAACAATGGATAAAATTCGAAATTTATCGAAGATTAATTTCATTATAAGAATATATTCCTGATATAATCAAGTTTTAGATTAAAACTAATGGATAATATATAAAGATTAAACTTCTAAAAAGAAAGATGATTATTAGATTTGTATTTTATTTCTAGATAAACCAATATGTCGAAACGTTTTTTCGAAGGTGCTCAACATGCAGCTCGTTATGCATTAACTCGACCGACATATCCACCAGCATTAATGGAAAAAATCATTAGTTTTCTTGCCATGAAGGTGTAATTTTTTCAAATTCAATTCTAATATTATAAAATAGTTATTCTTTTCTTTTTTTTTGTTTATCTTTCTTTTCAGTATAAAGATATATATGATTATGCAGCTGACATTGGTTGTGGTAGTGGACAAAGTACTGAACTTTTATCACCTTATTTTCAAAAAGTTTATGGTAATTTATTTTCTTGATAGTTTTATTATGAAAAGAAAAGAATATCATTTTAGGTTATGATGTAAGTGAAAATCAAATAAAAGAAGCAAAAACAAAAAATAAGATATCAAATATTGAATACAAGTAAAATTAATATATTTTGATTTCTGCTTTTTTTTTCTTGTTATCATTCATATTTCATTAAGAGTCAATATAAAGAATGCTATACCACATGCAAACAAATCACTTTGTTTAATTACTGCTGCACAGGTTAGTTATTTTCTTTTTTTATAATCTATTTCTTTGATGATGCGTATAGGCAGCACATTGGTTTGATTTAAAACAATTTTATTCTGAAGCTAATCGAACTCTTAAACAAATGGGTGTATTAGCTATCTATGGTTATGAATTACCTAAAATTGATGGTGAACATTCTTCACAACTCAATGAAATTTTTCAAAATGTATATTTAAAGAATTTATTCACAAAAAAAAAAGACAAAATGTATTTGTTTAGTTTTACAAGAAATTATTACCCTATTTTCCACCAGATCGACATCAAATTGATAGTAAATATGCTGATATTATTTTACCTTTTGAAGAAAAAATTCGGTAAGATAAAAACAAACATTTATATTATTATTATTTTTTCTTTTTTGGAAAATATTAAAATAAATTTTGATTAGAGATGAAAGTGTTAAAATAAAATATGAATGGAATCTTGATCGTTTTCTAGCTTATATTTCAACATGGTCAGGATATGTTCATTATATGCAAAAATATCCAGATAAAAATATTATTCTTGATTTACGTAGAGAGTAAGATAAATAATTTCAAAAACAAAAATTTCTTAATATTTTTCATTATGTAGTTTGTTTAAAGCAATGAAAACAGAAAATGAAAATGAACAAATGAAAATTAATTTTGGAACATTTATTTTACTTGGTCGTAAAACAGACTGAATAGATTTAAAATCAATAATCAAATTTTGCAATCTTGTTCTTTCTTGTTTTTTTGCTTTCTAGATAAAAAATATGCTTACTTATGAAAGTATTGTTATTGGTCAACATGTTGAAGTCTTTTACAATGATAAAATTGTTTATGGAACAGTTCTTTATAAAGGTCCAATCGTAGGACGACGTGGTATGTGGCTTGGAATTGATTTAGCGAATCAAGATGGTGATAATGATGGAACTTTAAAAGGACGTGTTTATTTTCGAACTCCACCTAATTATGGAATATTTACGACAATCGATAATATACGTTTAGCGTCGGATTTTACACGAAGGTAAAAGAATAAAAAAGAATTTATTCAGATTAAAATTTTATTGATAGACGAAGATCAGTTTATCGAACTGTAAATAAAAAAAGTATTGTTGAAGAAGAATTATTCGGTAATACAGGTAAAACAATGTAATAAACTATATATATATAAATATATTTATTTCAAAATTTTTATCTTCCAGATCCACTTACATTACCTCCTCCATCAACTAATGCAAGTATTTCTAATAGTAAAGTAACATTTTCATTAAAAAATCCACATGAACGTCCGCAATCAAGTATTTTTTATGAAAATGAAAAACGTTATCCATTACCACAAACATTAGCTAAAGAATATGATTATAAAATAAGAAAACAACGTGTACTTGAAAAGAGGAAGTCGAAACAAATCGATACAACGTATGTATTATTTAAAACAATATCAAATTAAATATTAATTTTTTTTTCTTTTCTTATTGATTAGTGAATTTACGTTTGCACCTGCACCATCAATTCCACCTATTTTTATGCCGCCAACTGAAGTTGATCGTGCTAAACGAACAGGTTTTGTAGGCATGAGTATACCTCGTTATACAGTTGTCTACGATCAATATGATTTTCTTGAATGATTATAAACATTTTTCGATGAGTTTTTCTTTGAAATTCCGTCCACTTTTTCTTTTTTTTTTGTAATATCAATTTTAACTTCTCAAATAATGTCGTATGTATTTGTATGTTTATTTTAACGTCATATAAAAACATGTGTTTGTCTCTAATTAAAATCAATTGATTCTTAATGACGAAATCTTTTATTTCATAAGCAAAATTGAAAATATCTAATCAATAAAGAAATTACTGTCGTACATGGTCGATTCAAAACTTGAATTAAATCAAATGATTAAGTCTATTCTGTATAGTTGATTGGAAGCCAGCATCGTATTGATTTTTCTTAAGATCAGAGAACAATGCTTGTTGAAAGGATCATGTCGATGGTAGTGCAGCAAATGAGTACCCTATGTCTTTGACGCTGCCTGACAACTATCAGATGAATCCAACTCGTTCTAATCAAGACTTTATAGTTGCTCGTTGGGACAAAGTTAAATCATTTTTCCTAGAATCTGGGTCACAGTTCCAACCAGAGAATATTGGTCTCTCGCTACCATCTCGTGCAAATTAGTTGAATTCTTCGATCTTTGCGGTTGATTTAAATGAGGTGAAATTACTTAGATCAAAGACAAGCGTACAACGTACTGAAGATCGAACTCGTATCGACATTCCATGGGTTTATGATGAAGAACCTAAACTAGGCACATCTCCACGTCTGTACAATCAAATTATTCAAATCGTCGCTATCCAAGAAAAGAATTCATTAAAAAAACAATGCTCGTCTATTTGTATAGGTTAATTATGCGATGGGTGATGCTGTCATAGCCTCAATGAATGTAAAATATTAATATTTCTAGCGTCCAATTGTCGGCATTCACAATGCACCAAACATGTATCATCGTGATTCGGCATAGATACCATCAGAAGCATTTTCTGATAATATCGTTGAGAATTTTACTCCTTCCTTTCCAGTCTATATCTTAGGTCATGCAATATTGGAAACGGCAACTTTTGAAGCCCTTCGTCAATTTTACAATAAAAAATAATATTTCATTTCAATTTCAATCTGATGAATACAATGAAAAAATAAAAAGATTCCAACACTGACCGAGTTCGATCACCACTAACTCGAAGTTATGTTTCATTGACAGAAGCTGAAAGAGAAAATTTAAATAGTCGAATAATATATTCGGGTATTCACTGGCGTAGTGATGTAATACGAAGACAAACTCTTGATAAACAGATTGCATTCGAAGTTCTTCGAAAATTTAATTAAATTGATTTTTTCTTCTTCTTTTTTAATATAGAGTATGCACTATAAACGATGATAACATCTTTATTTTGTCGAAATTTATCAATGAGATTTTATTTGAGACGGAGTTATGTTTAATCTTAAAAGTGTTGTGTTATACTCAATTTTCTACAGTGGAATATGAAAAATAATACAAAAAAGTAGAGTATGTTTTTTGCGTCTTGGGGTTAGAAAAAGAGCGACATTATGTATCGAACATGTTGCAGAATTGTACGCATGTCTAGAAAGTTACATCACTATCAATGGCCTAAGTCATTATATTTATAGCAGTAGTATTCAAATAAAAATTAGAATGGAAAGTAAATTTTTATGTATATGATAAAGTTAATATAAAAACCTTTATTTGATTCGTTTTTTCTTTTATTTTCATGATATAAATCTGATTAATCATTGATAAATTTTAAATGATATTGATAGAAAAGATCTTGTTAAACTATTGTCATTCAATCGATTCTATTCAAATTTAAATAGTATCAATTTTCAATGGTACATAATAAACAAATTTATGTTTTATATTATTTTTATTAGATTAAATCTAAAATATTTATCGTTTCTGTTTATATCGAATCAATATAAATGTAATAATCTTATCATTAACTCTTCGATGTTATCATGGAATCCATGTGGACTCACTAGACAGTTTTTCATTTAGTATTACATTAATACTTGTTGTTTTGGATTATTCTTCTTATCTAATCTCCGATCTTTTGTTTATGTTTAATATTTATACTAGAAATTATCAATAAATTTATTAGAGAAAAATTTCATTGTGAATTCACATGGAAGTCAGAATAGCAACAACATTATAGATATCCTTTTTCAACTTTCTAACATTATCATCTATTATTCTCTAGTCTTTGGTTTTATCAAATAGATTTGTTTTGATTTCTTCTTATGTTCATCATTAACAATACTGATTGATTCTCATCTGAATTGTTTGAGTTTTTCTTTTAAAAATCTTTTTGAAAATGTAAGAAAAATTTACAAATATGCATTTCTACATTCTTTTCTTTTTATAACATCAACATAACTTATAAGTCAAATTTCAGATGAATTAGAGAGAGTTGATGGACAGATAAAAATGATATTGACTGCGACATCAATGAGCAACAAGCTTCTGGTTTGGATAACGAATAGAACACTGTTACTACTAAATTTCGTGATACATACACTAATAAGTATTTATAAGAAGAGTCTGTTTCATTGAATTCTGTTATTGATCAAGATAGTATTATCATAGTATAGTTAACTGAAAACATTAGAAAAGGTCGATTTTACATGACTATGATTTAAATATTCAAAATCAGTTCAAAGTCTAATATCTGCTGCTAATATAATCGAGAAAAAAAACCAGATTCTATTAGTCAAGCCCAGACGATTGGGTGTGGGTGTGGTTTTATCTCATTTCAATCTACGTCCACACCGACACCCACACCTACACCCACAGTCTTCTTATGTTACTTGATGATGTCCCTTGAAATATTCATAAAAGAATGAAAGAATACATAGAAAGTCGTTCCTTACTGAAGAGATGCACTTGCATCTGAAAAAAGTAAGATCAATTTTTGTCATTCAAGGATATTTTGTATAGTTTACGATAATTCTCTCTGTAATTCACAATTGTTGATCAATTTGCTTCCACTTTCTCTCTTTATTAAGCTTCGATGATGAAAATTTCTCATACAGAACATATATGAATAAAGTTCTTTCTGGAAACTGACATCACTTGAAATTAAGAAAACCTGGTGCCTCCATCAATCAGAACGCTTTGTCCTGTCATGTAATCAGAGTCTTTGCTAGCCAAGTATGACACAAAGTTTGCAACATCTTCCGGCTGACTTGTACGGCCAAGAGTTATCATGCTTAGGTACTGTTTAATGATATCTTCCTTTTGCTTTCCTTCGGTTTTTGCCATTTCTTCACTACTGATATGGTACATCGAAGTTTCGACAATTCCTATTTTGATAATTAGATTTGTATTCAGAAAAAAATTGTATGAAACATACCTGGACAGTAAGCATTAACTGTAATCTTGTGTTTAGCCAATTCCATGGCAGCAGCTTGCGTAAGACCGCGCACAGCCCATTTACTGGCACAATAATGACTTGCCATTGGAGCTGATGTGTGTCCGGCCATACTGCAGGCACCGATGATTTTGCCTCCAGTACCTTGCGCAATCATGACTTTAGCAGCCTCTTTGTAGCAAAGAAACACACCCCGCGCGTTTGTTGCAAATATCTTATCCCAATCTTCTGTAGTAATATCAACAATCGATTTCACTTGAACAATTCCTGCATTAGCGATTGCAACCTATTTTATTAGCTAGTAAATAGATGAAAGAACCGAGAACAAAGAGGTGCCTACATCTAAGCTGCCAAGTTGTTTTGCAGCGTTCTTCATCATTGTTTCGACCTCTTTATCAATAGAAACATCAGCAGTGATAGCAACGGATTTTCGACCCATTTTTTCGATTTCTTGTTGAACCTTGTTGAGACCTGATGAGTTTGCTTTGATATCATTGACAGCAACATTGAGACCATCTCTAGCAAGACGGAGAGCAATGGCACGTCCAATTCCTTGAGCAGCACCAGTAACGAGAGCATTGCGAGACATCTTGAACAGTAAAATCTGGAAAAGAGAAAAAAATTGAAGAAAAGTCTCATTGTTCTCTTGGAGAATAACTATATGAAACTCTCCACATACAAAATAACGTGTTTTTTAATAGTGAAAAACAACATTTGTTATAATTAGTAGTCTGCTGTCTAGAATGAGTTTGTTACGTTACATGAAAATGTCAACCGAGAAACTAGGCTTTTTGGCGTCTGCCCTCTATCTGGATTACAGTCTCTGATATGCATTTCAGAAAGCAAAGCAAAATAGTTGGTTGGCGTCAAAATCTGTTCGAATATGCAGTTCCTCTAAGTTTTTCGTTCTCAAAAAACAATACTTTCACGATACTGTGAATGAATTAAATGAATCAATACAATATTTGTAAGGAAAAATGTGCTCGATATCGAGAGATATAAGATAAGAGTGAAAATCTGGATTATACCAAATTGTAACGATTAATTGAATAATGAGTTCAGAGAATAAAACCAGCAACACTCTGCTACTGACAATTACACGTACGTTCAAATGACAGCAAACAATACACCCAATAGATTTATTCGTAAACACACCACTTCCGTGCAATGTATCTCTCGATTCGGCACAATTTCATCTCTATTAGTTCTAAAGCCTACTCCAACCAGAAACAAACTTCAGAGAAGAACGATGCAGAGAGATATTAAAAGAAGAAAGAGGAAAAAGAAGAAAACAGGAAGAGAGGAGAAAGAGAGGGAGAAAAGGAGGAAGAGAAAAGAATATAGAAAAATATTATGTGTAACTAAAACGAGAAAGAATGAGGGGTGTAGTACTAAAGGACATTCCTTGTCTGATACGAACTCAATTACTCTTGACAAGACAGAATAATGTACTCCTTGGCATAATATTACCATCTCTTTTATAATAAGTAAGCGTATATTGAAGGTTAGATGGTGAAAAGATAAGCATTGTTTTTATTTACAAGTTTTTATCTTTGTTTGTATTCTCGTTATCTCATGGTTTGAGGTGGAAAAAATAGTACAAGTGAATTTTTCATAATCAAAAAAAGCTTTCTTTTTCTTACAATATAAAAGACTGTTTTATTGCTTTAATAATCTGTAGAAGTTCAGTCATATTCAGATTTCTTGAAATTTTCATTATTCCCCAAATTCCCTAATTATTGAAATTTCTGAAATTCTGCACCTTCTAAAAGTGGTTGCTTTACATTGCTTTATAAGTTTTCAACTTATGCATATTACAGAAATTTCGATAATTTCTTTTTATCTTTTTGAAAACTTGCTTATTCTTCCTTCCATTTTACTTCACGAGATTATCAAACAATTTAGTGCAATTTTTATCTAGATTTAATTAGTTTTCATTATAAATTTTGAATAAATTGATTTGAGTTCGTACATACTTTCGTTGGTTTTGCACTCTCTTCCTATGCTGCAATATAATATAGAAAAAAGATAAATAAATAACGAAAGGATTCATTCTTTCCTGAATAAGTTGTACGCAAGCTACAACAGAACATATTAAGAATGCTTAAGACATCTTTTCTGAGCTAGTGTGTAGAAATGGAGCGAAATAAGTCATATCTCAAGACACTGTTCGTTACAATGTAGATGGAGAGCAAAATAATGCATAAATACTAATTTGCATTATTCTTCGTTGAGGCTGTGCATGTAATAAAAGAAATGATGTTGAACTGATTGTTTTTTCTTACTATGGTAATATTCATCCTGATTTATTACTTATGTCTAGCATTCACTATCGATAATTTTTTAATCATTGATTGATATCTTTGAATGACATTCAAAATCTAGCATGTAAATAAAAAATTTCAATAGAGATTCTCATTGAGATTTGCAGAGTATGTATAATATAGAGATACACAGACAGTAGAACATTGAGCTATGCATGCAGATATTGTGTGTATACGTATGAGGGGCGATGGTTATCAGGATTAGGCGGGATATTCCAGCTATTGAGATATTTGACTAGGTGAAACAATACTACTGATCTAAACTTCTTCATTCGATATTTTAATTATTTTATTCGATTATTTTTAGCAGATTCAGAATCCAACAATAATAAAATGATTTATACAACCGAGGACAATTGAAATTATATCCTTTAATTTTTTTGTTTTTTTATTCCTATACATTTTTATCTATCAACCTACTATATATAGAGAGAAAGTCAAGAACTTGCTGCATATTTTGGTATATTTATTTTGAACATCAAATGCAGTTTAAAATCTAAAAAGTGTATTGGAAGAAAAAGGACATTTTTTCAAAATTTACGTGGTGTTCATAATGCTGCAACATTTTTTATTTCGTGGATATCAGCTAAGATAAATGATAAAACCTTGATTTTTTTTTCAAAAGATGCGCCGTGAAAATTTCTGCAAAAGCTGTATGATTGAATTTCTTTTTACCTATTTTGATGGCTTTTCTTATACTCAAAATGAACAACTTTTATAGCTGTGTCACTTCCGATCATACTGAAAATGCTGAAAGACTTTTTGTTCTGCATATATCTCGACTTCAGAAAATGATGAAATATTGAATTTGCTCTTAAAACATGTGTCGTCAAAAGCTCTGAAAAATTTGTATAGACCAAATCCTATAGCGAATCGAAAAAATTCTTGGAATATTTTCTACATAATGGGAAGTAATACTGCCACCATAAGCTGTTCATTTTGAGTATTAAAAAATTATCAGAACAAGTAAAAAGAAATTCAATCATACAGCTTTTGTAGAGTTTTTCATAGCGCGTCTTTTGAAAAAACAATTCAAGATTTTATCATTTATCGAAATCGAAATATGTGGTAAATAAAAAATAGTACAACATTATGGATACCCAGTTTTGCAAAAAGGAAAAAAATGTCCTTTTTCTTCTAATATACTTTTTAGATTTTAACCTTCATTTAATGTTCAGAGTAACTATACCAAATGATGCAGCAAGTTCTGGACTTTCTCTCTGTATATAGTAGGTTGATAGATAAAAAAACGTATAGTAATAAAAAAACAAAAAAGTCAAAGGGTATAATTTCAATTGTCTTCGACTGTACATGCATATCTTATCAATCATGTACACAATGGATTCTGTAGAACGAAGAAATGAAAGAGGGACACATGTGGCTTACTCTTTTTAATATCAAATATTTGGGATAGATAAGAGTAAATCACATTGGCAAACCTTTTAGTTTATCCTATAGAAAGTATTGCGCATGAATTAAAAAAATCTAACTCGCCAATATACATGAAAAGTCCATTCTTTGTGACGTAGTAATTTCTAGAGCAGAACATCGCTCGATAGCCCCTGAAACATATGTAAGAAAAGCGAGTCTCCAAAATGGTAAACATTTTCTTTGATTTTCAATAATACATTTCGTTCGTCGAAAGTCAAAGCCAGATTATGAGAATAATTTGTAGACTTTTTTCACTGTGTCCGAGATAATGGAAGCGAGACTAGGCGCGAATCATACAAGCTAAAATTAGCAGTGAATTTTTGTTAATGCGATAGTTGTTGGGATATTTTCTCGTTTTCGTGACCCTTGAAGCGGCATGCATGAACGATGATGTTATTTTTAACAATAACAAGTATGTCCTTTCGTCTGCTCCCGACGACGAAATATGCTCAATAGTTTCTAATTAAAAGATGAAATTAATTTAATGTTACCTGATGCATATGCATGGCGCAGCTTGTTAGATATATTTTCGAAGGGAGAAGAGAATATAGAATGAAGAGGCCCAAAAATAACCTAGCGAAACAAGAAAAAAATATTTTAGATCTCTATTGTACCCATTGAATATTTATATGTGTTAACTTGTTCGTGTAAGAATTTTAGCAATATTATCAAGATATACAGCTAATTGAACTTGAATTTTAATACTTACATAGAAAATAAATACAATCAAAAATTATTTTATTTATTAATTTTATCTAAAATAGTTCAATTAACTTTATCAATAGATATATCAACATTCAATATTAAGAGAAACTAAATTAGCAACACTAGCTGAAATGTTTACATGTGCTTTAAGATTTTCTGTAACTAATGAAATTTCATCAACACTTAAATCAGACACCTTAAGTCAAATATCAGGTGAATTACTAATATTATGAGGTAAAGTAGTACAAACCGAATTGTTATCATTCGGACATTTTGAATTACTTGTATTTATTAATATTAAATTAGAAATAGAAATAATAATTTTCAAATTAACTAGAGACTAAACATTATAATGCTTGATTAAAGGCATATATTTTTGTAATATGAATATAAACAAGAAACTTTTATCGATATAAATGATTTTGTCCTCAATGATATTTTCATCTTAATTGATGAGATAAAGTAGAGTAGAAAAGAGTGTATGTTTATATGTATTTTTATTAATACCTATAATTATTATGCTTGGATGATCATGCGTGATCTATTGCTGTTTTATTGTATTAATGAAGGAAAAAAAACCAAGAAAAACAAAAAAACAAAATTTTTACATTTAAAGAAGTCTGTTCAATGTATTTTGAACACCTGTGATTGTTCTTGCTAGAAGAGGATTAAGATCGATTGATTCAAGTGTTCGATTGACAATATAAACGATTTTATCTAATTTTACAGCCAATTGAACATGAGCATTAACGCCTATATTATACAAGAAACAAGTTTATGAAAAAAAATTGACTTTTCTTTGTCTTTCCTCTTACCACGAATCTTTAATTGAACAGTTGAAATACCCACTGAAACACCAGCAGTAAGATTAATGAGTGATGCAACTCGAGTATCAAGATTTAAACGAGCTTGAATATTATCTACACGTAATTCAATTGTTGGTACTGTAAGTCTTGCATCAAGCCATACATCAGGTGGATTACTAACATTAAATGGAAGTTCTTGTGTACAAATAGATGTACTTCCTGTACAATTATCTGTTGATGTTTCTTGATAATTTGTATAAGTAGCTGGAGAAGTATTTTCAACTAAAGAAATTTTAGATTGAGAATTTTTTCATTAAAAAATAAAAAAGAGAACTGACCTTTTTGACCGATTATAGATGCTGCTAATAATAAAATACTTAATAACAGCATGTTACTGGTAGTTTGATTTGATTTGATTTGATTCGTGTGTATTTCTATCGTACAAAATTTCGATTACTGATCTGCTCAAGCGTGACATACATTTGTCTTTTTTTCTCTCACGCGTCATTTTAACTTTTTACTCTTTGTAACGATTATGTTTACGTTATTATTCTACAAATAAAAGCCTGCACCGTATAAACCAAGAACGTTTTATTATTACAATCGAAAATATATCTGGTGATGCATAATGATTGTAACATTTAGTATTTAGCAAAATATATCAATACAGATAAATTATATAATCTTAACTTTTGTTTTATGAAAGATGCGCCGTGAAATTCTCTACAAGAATCGTAATGAGAAATCCTATCACGTTAGTTTGATGATTTTATCATAAGGCTAAAAGTGAAGCAGTGTATGACGATGAAATTTCCTATTATTCTGAGAGAAAGGTTAAAAAATAGTTTTCTTCTTATTTTAAACAAAACTCTTCATGATCTTATCATTTACTTTTCAAAAGTAATTGAAATAAAATAATATAAAAATCATAAATTTCCATCAAAAATATGATTCCCATTATGTTGTTCAACTGTACGAACTCTTTGAAGAAAAGAACCGATCACATGACAAACATCACTGACATCAATTTTTCGCATGATCTTTTTATTTCTTTCTTCAAAGCTTCTTGTGTTGTAATCTTGTGATAATCAATGATTTTCTAGTTGAATAAATTTTTGTAAGTGTATCATAAATATGATAGTTTTATTAATTTTTATTAAAACAAAATTGATTATTTTCCTATCTAACGGATAATAAACATTCGGCGTATGTGTTTATTTTCAACTTTTTCTTAATTAAATACTCATTGATCTGTTGCTACCATAGTGCTATTTAGATAAACATGAATTAGTGGAATGAAGACCAATTATATTAATATTGGATGTGATGTATGTCGCTCAAAGAATCGTTTGTATAAGATCATTAATAACAATTCGATCTTGTATTTGAAGTACTCAAAGAAAATAATCTTTATATATTAACAATAAATATTGCTTCAATTTTATTCTTTTTTTCATGAAAATAATCTCCATGTATTCTTCTCAAATACAATAAATTATAAAAAAATATCTTAAAACTATGAATTATAAAAAAATTTAAAATTTTTCTAAAAATAATTAAAATACTTTTGGAATAATAATATATGGTACTTTTTGTCTATATTCTTCATATTTTATGCCAAAATGTTTTTTTAATTCTTGTTCTTCAATATGAATTCGATAAAAAAAAACTAAAGAAATTGGTATCATTATAATAAATAAACTTAACCAATTATTTAAAAATAAAGCCAAAGCAAGAAAATACAATAATATACCTGCATAGGATGGATGTCGCATTTTTTCATACCATCCAAAGTCAATTATTTGTTGATTTTCATCTATTCGAATAACAGTCGTAAACCATTTGCCTAATTGTTCTATTGATTGTTTTCGTAATAAAATACCCATTAGATATAAACTAATATTAAATAAAATCCATAAATAATATATAAAAGATTTATTATCAATTATTTTTGATCCATAACCTAAACGAGCACAACGTATGGAAAATAATAGTGAACATATTATAAATAACCAAATAAAAATAAATGTTCGACGATCTTTTGATGAAGTTTTTGATGATGTTGATGATAAGTACTTTGTCTTTGAAATATATATTTCCATCAAGCAACATGGAATACCAAATAAAGCACATAAAAACGTATCTGAATCCATTTTTCTTTATTACAAAACTAGTATGGATGATATTAAACTTTCGAAGATCCATAGTTTACCGAATCTATACTGAAAAGATAACGAAAAGAAAAAAGCTATTGGATTTCTAATAAACCAGCTGAGTTTATCAAAATCTTCTTTCTGTCTCATAAATGTCTTCGATCTATATATATGATGATAAAAGTATTATGGTCTAAATTACCATTATTCTAAAGTTTAAATTTTGTTTATTTGTATATGTATTACTTCAGTAAAAGTTTACATTAGCTAAGTTCTCATGATGATGTTTAATACGAGATTCTATAAAATCTAATCTTTTTCTTTCGTCACTCAAACTTGATCACAATATAATATAGCACTTACGAGGGACTATATCCAAATCTTAGTGATCGCTCGAATTTATATTATAGTTATTAATGGATCTCGATGAGACTAAGAAAATCATCAAAAAATTTCAGTCCTTGACCTACTAATGAAGAGAATGCTTATCTTCGAACCCTACATTCACACATTCAAAGCGTTGCTTTATTAGAAATTGAATATCTCGAGAGAAAGACATGTTTGTTTTCGTTGAAACTTTCAGAGCTATCGCATCTACCTATAGACAAAATCTCACGTGTCACACGATAATCTCAAATAAAAAAAGTGATATTTGATGGATTGTTCAGAAAACAAAACGGAGCTATGTATATATGCAACATGTGGAGCTTGTTAAATTGAATGTTTTAAACTTAGACATTCAATAGAACCTATCAGAATGGAATCCAGAATGAATTCTTTGATAGTGTTTACACTGACAACCAGATGCAGATACTATACTAAAGATTAGTTTTGTTCTATTTTACATAAATTTAAGCTTTCATTTCGGGTAAAACGAAAAAAAAAAATGAAGAACCTTCAAGTGAATTTCTTATGTATTTCGAATATTAGTTTAAGAGTATCCCGCCTTTTTGGACATTTCTGATTCTTGAAAAGCATACAACCGATCTGCATAAAACTTTTTCCACAGATAAAGCACCTAAAATAAGGAGACATGTATTCACGGGAAAATACTTTGAACAAAGGTTTCGCAGTTTTTCAGGAAACTCTGATTTTTCATAGGACCTCATCGAACCTACTTACGACTCTTCTCTAACTTTCTCGAATCAGGCTGAAATTCCGATCACAAATACTTGAAAGTATTCTCCAGCTATGAAATTGACTGCTGTCATTTTTGACCTTCCTCTCCGAGTTTATGGTGCCCTGAACACCAGCACATTGGTTTTGAATTCGAGCATTTATATATTTCTTTCATCAAAAAAGAAAAAGCAACATTTCTGAAAAAGCTTTCGACTCCATCAAACAAAGTTAAACGGGAGTCGTAAGAAAGCCCGATTTGATCCTATAGAAAATCGGAATTTCTTAAAAAAGACTGCGAAAACCTTGTTTAAAATTTTTTTTTCATCAAAAAATACGTCTCCTTGTTTTTGGTGCTCTATCTGTGGCAAAATTTTCATGTGGATTGGTTGTACCCTCTTCGAGAACCAGAAACGTTCAACGAGAAAAAGATATCCGTAAACTTGAATCCTTTCGAATCCAAAACTAAGACATACCCAACGATCAAGACAATACTTTATAAACATATACTTTTATTATATTTGTACTGAAATAAATCCTTTAGAAGTACATCATATATTCCCATAGCTACTCTTGAAAAAGTTGAATATGTTCAGTATTAGATTAGTTTATTTAGTCAACTTTCATTCATATTGATTTTTTAATCTTCTGATACAAGCCATTTTACCCCTTTCTAATAACATGAGTATCATTGTTGATTTACATTGTGCGAGCCTTGAACGATTACTTTCATGGTTATGATTACATTGTTTTCTTTCGATTATTACCACGAAAAATGCTCGTATTGATAGAAAAAATATGCTTTTAATGTTGATAAGTCATTCGACTATGACTATTACTACTATTCATTTATAACTCATCGAGTACAATTAAATGTTTTCTCAGTCGATTTTTCTTCTTCAAATTATTTAAACAATTCAGTATTTCCACTCGACTAAATGTAAACAATAAAGCTTATTCAATATTGGAATACATATCCTCTTTTTCTTTGTCACATCAACACACATTGGTTTTTGTTTTGTTTTTGCAAACAGAGAAAGAAAAAAAGAAAAGAAAAGAAGACAAAGTTAAACTTCATTTACACGACAATAGAGAACAGCTACATACATACAGAAAAAAAAGAATAAGAGACTCTTTGGTTTTTTTTTGTTTTTCGTTTCTTTACAAATAGTATAACATATTTTAACAAACGACAAGAGAAAAAAAAGAAGATGAGATATACACAGATACAAAAAAAACAGTATATGTAGCTGTGAAATCCAAGTACGAACAGATTAGGACGTTCTAAAAACAAAAATCCAATAAAATCATCAATATATATATATATATATTCTAAAACTTACTCTGATGTGTCCATACCATCTGGATTACCTTCTGTTGGTGTAGGTTCATCTACTGGTGTTGCTAATGTTTCATTTTCACCTTCTACTGTCGTAGTTTTCTTTACTTCTTCAATTGTTGTTGTTGTTGTTGTTGCTGTTATAATTCCTTCTGAATCTGTTGGTGTTATTTCATTAGATGTTCCATTTTCTGTTGTTTCATTAGTTGTCGATGGTATAACAACAGTTGATTCAGTAACTTTTGTTATTTGTGTAACATTTGTACCATTGATTGTTTCCGAACTAGTTTTACGTTTATTTGTAACTTGTTTAAAATTTGTTTGATTACGTCGATTATCACCATCTTCATCTTCTGAATCGGATAATTCACGTTCATCAACTATACGACGATCACTTTGTAATTGTGATATACGCTAAAAAAATTAATTTATTTTATTAAATTTTATTTTTCCATTTATTCCTCAAAAAAATTAATTTACTTTATCAGGATCATTATCTTTATCTTCATCAACAACACGATCAACATCCATAGCATCATCTGGTATAGCTAAAAGACAAAAGAAATTAATAGAAACAAAAAAAAACGATGTTTGATCGATTAAATCTTACGTTGCATTTGAACACCTGGTACATGCGGTAACATTCGAAGATTATCAAAAAGTTTAACTCTATTTAAAATCAATTTCAAAATTTAAAACACAAAAACATTCTTCACTAAATATTTACTTGATTTTATCTAAATATTCTGAACTATTTTGATTAGGCATATTTGATGGACTTATATGTAATTTAAAATCTGGTCCATAATATTCAAAATAATCATTATAAGGCAATTCTATAAACAAAAACACACACAATTATTTAATATATATGTATATCATTTATTAATAGAATTTACCATTTGGAATTTCTTGATTAAGTGCAATTGATGTTTCATATGTCCAAGCACGAGCAACATTACGAATTGTATATCCACCACCACCAACCAGTAATAATGGTAAATTAAAACCTTTCATAAATTCTACACATTTACCATGGCCTAACAGAAAAATATTTTGTTTTTTTTTTTTAAATAAAAAAAAACAAACAAACCTTTAAGTGTTAAATTAAAACAACCAAGACGATCACCAGTTAATGAATCAGCACCACATTGAAGTACAATAGCATTTGGTTGATATGATTCCATCACCTTTGTCATAACTGGTTTAAATATTGTTTCATAAGAATCATCCTCAATTCCATCACGTAATGGAAAATTAACAGCATAATATTTGCCGCGACCAGCTCCAATATCCTAAAACAAAATTAATTTCATCTCAAAAATAAATACCATCGCTCCAAAAAAATTGATCATCGAGATTTTACTCCGATCTTTTTCTGTAATGATAACTCGTATAAAGAATTCAAATAGTTACTTGAAAACAAGAAAATTGTTTCCAAAATCCATGATCTCTAGGAAAGCCAACACCAAGCTTTTTAGCATCCAGAACCCGAAAATAAAAGCTCCTTTTGATTAAATAGAATAACTGACTCTCTAAGAAATGAGATGTCACACTAGAGAGCTGTAGGTTCAAATCCGAGATTTTTTCAATTAATACTTGGCACCCTTCGTGTACATGAACAGCTGAAACATCAAGGTTTCAGCTATTGATTTGCTACTTTCAGAAAAAACTCAGCGTACAATTATATCTTGTTGCTGTATTTCTTATCTGAGAAGCAGCAAGTCCATAAAAATGTGTAACCGAGCCCAGCAAAAAATAAAATTATGCATCCGGACCCGACAAAAAAAATAAAACTTTGGATCCGGAACCGGTCAGGTGCGCATTTGGAAGGACTAGCAGCTTCCTGTCTCAGAGCTCTCCACAACATTTTTTTAATGGAACTCCATCGACATTAAGAAACGTTCGAAAATGATTTTCTTGACATTCTCCAAGGGAAAATTGAATAAAAAGAACTTTTGATCTTCTCTTAAAATTCATTTAATTCAATCAAAAAATATCGTATAGAAATCAGAAATTGTATGTTTTTGTCGGGAATTAGTTGTTCTGTGACCTTGTGTAATTCAAAAGAAGCTTTTATGTTCGATTTAAATCTTTCTTGGAAACAATTTTTTCTATTTAAGCCACTATTTCGATTTTTTATGCGAGTTATCCTTTTTAAAAAAAAACAAACCGAAATTAACTCTATATCATCAATTTTTAGAGCCATTGTATATGAAGATATGACATATATAAAGAATAAAGGCTAAACAATCGAAACTGAACTTATTTATTCCATGTTTTCTCAATGATTAATTTAATTATCTTTTCGTTCGTCTAATATACTCTAGGTTTGAAAATAGGGCTAGCCAATTCCATGAAATCTATTTCAGAGAGCATATCATCTCGAATATTAATCATAAAAAAATTCTGTCATTTTGAAAGTTTTTACTAGCTTCACTGGTTTTTGTATTAGTATTAGATGTAAATATGAATAATCCTAAACGGAATAATGTGCTTAAATCCTTTTGATGAATCTATCAAATTTTATTCCATAATACCTAATGATGGAAAGTTCTAACAAACTGATTTGTTTTTTGCTCGTGAGAGCCTTTGCAGAAATGATGATTGCTTCGCCAAGTATTGAGTAATTAAACAAGATATGGACAGAGACATCAAATGGTCCTTGGAAGATGTTGAAAGTTGCCTCCACAGGATAATTAATTTATTCATTTTTGTTGAAACCTCCACGATCTTCTAAGGACAATTTGATGTCTCTGTCAATACCTTGCTCAGATATTGAAAACTCAGAATAGCTACTATAACTTCGAGAAAAAAGACCCAACGGTTCTGTTCCTTTCTGGTATTTACTAATTGCACTGAAGCCTTTACTCGTAAGATGGATGAAGAAAAAAAATTATAATAACTAAAGGATTATAATTAGGAAACGTTTTTCGAGAAAGATCCACTAAAAACTAAGGTCTTCCAATCTCGCTGTTATAAATTCGATCGAAACTGTTTTGCTAAAAAAATGTCTCATTCAATAGCCCAAGCATTCTCGAGTTTTCCACAACTTCTTTTCATAGTTTCAAGAATTTCTTGTGCTTGACGCTTCAGTATCTTCCGTAAAATTGAGTGCGATTTACAAAAAAAAAAACACTCGTGCAAAGCTCGACTAACTACGACTGTTGAAAAAAATTTCTCATAAAATACAAATATACTTAGTTATTCGGCGTCACTTTTCTAGATAAGACTTTCATCATACGATTTTTTTTCAATACCTTGTAAGAGTGAGCTGAAATCACAAAGAAATAGCGCTATTTCCTTTAACGAGCCTCTATCATTCCTAAAGAAATAATGTTCAATCTCTCCTACAAATCCGATCAAATTTAGTAAAAATCTTCGGATCGACCTCATGAGCCATACGCCCATCAATTGCGGAACTCTTACATACAAAATTATAACTGACAAAAAAAAAAAACAACTTACTCTTAAATCACCAGTACCCGGAAAATATTCTCCGAATTTATGAAATGATACCGTCATAACTCTATCTGTTGTATAAAAAGCTTCTTCAACTCCATCGCCATGATGAATATCAATATCAATATAAAGTACGCGTTGATGATATCTTAAAAAGAAAAATATCAAATTTTTGGTTTTTATTTATTCATTTTATAGCAAAATAATTTACTTGAGTAATTCAAGAATAGCTAAAACAATATCATTAACATAACAAAATCCAGATGCTTCAGATTTTTTAGCATGATGAAGACCACCAGCCCAATTTATAGCAATATCAGTTAGTTTTCGATTAAGTTTAACGGCACCAGCTAATGAACCACCAGCTGATATTTGACAAAATTCATAAAGACCTTCAAATACAGGACAATCTTCACCAACATTAAATCGTTGCATTTGTTTATTAAAATCAAGAATATTATCCGGCCGAATATTTTGAATAAATTTTACATATTCATCACTATGAAAACGTGTCATTTCATCAGCTATAGCTTTATGTGGACGCTTAAAAAATATATAAATTTTGAGTAAAGAAAAAAAAAAGATTAGTGTTTTCGAATTGATATACATACATAAACTTCCATTTTACGATAAAGTCCATAATTAAGAATTAAATTATGTGTCATACGTATACGATGTGGTTTCATCGGATGGCCTTGTCTGTTCAAAAAAAAACAAGATTGAATTAAATAGAAAATTGTTTGTTTTCAAATAAATTACCCATAATAATAATTGCCTACATCAAAATCATAATAATAAGAGACCTTTTTACGACTATGAGGACCAACAGTTGCTGGCGTTGTGGACATTTTCTTTTCTTTTTTTGCTTTTTTTCTTATTAGATCTGAATATAGGAAAGTATATTTCGTTTTAAATGAAAAGAAAAGAGATATTCATCGATGATAATAACACAAAGAAGAAAGAAAAATAACTAAGAGTGACCACCGCGAGAGAGAGAGAGAGCGAGAGTGGACGATTAGAATAATGAATAAACAAATATCAATTGCTTTATATTGATTGGTGAAAATAGAAGAAAGACATATGAAAATATATGATATTTGAAAAAGAAAAATTTTTAATTTATTTTATTTAAAAAAATAAATATTCAATAAATTTGAATTTATTTCAAATACTGATCATAGTGACATCTTCCAATTAAATTAGGATTCATTAAATACAATACTCCAATCATATAATTACCAGACAATGACATACCATGTATATAATTACATATGCATGATTCATCAAATTAATTTCGGATGGATAATTTATTAATGCATTTTGGATGAAACTTTTTTTGAAAACCTAGTATTTATATTTTATGCAACATATGATTGATAATACTACATTTTTCTGTTCAACTGACAAAAAATGATGTGTTGATTTTTGAAATATCTCATGTTTGCATTGTTGTCTAGTAAAGTATGTTGTATTCTTGTTAAAATGTCATTGTAATGTAGCGCTATCCTTTGTATAAAAACTGATTTTTCCTAAAAATAAAATATGTAGTTGAATATATTATTTGATTGAATACATTTCTATCGAAATTTCGATACTTGACGCTTCTTTCCAATTCAGATGTCGCTTCATTAAGTATATTCGACATTGATTTGCATTTCTTCTCACCTTTTATATCATCAGGTCATTTTCTGGTATCATCTATCAATATATCAATAAGCAGAAGATTTCATCAGCATCAAATAAACATTCTAAGCCATAAAAAGACAGAGATTCTTGTATAAATCTACATCAAACAATGAAATGAATGTATATTATAAACCTCTTAAACTATCAACAATTATTGAATCTTAAAAGATCTTATTGGTAAATTGTTTGACTTAATATTTATGAGTATATATAATTTTATATACATTCGAAAAAAAAAATACCAACAATGTTGGTTTATCTTTTCAATCTAATATTGAATTATTTTTCTAAATTATTTTCAGATGTTAACTGCTGAAGAACGTCGTCAACGCATTCTGGCTAATTCAGAATCGCGTCTTGCTAAACTTCGGCATATAAATCAACATGATAATTCATCTGATATACCACCAATGGCATCAATATCTTCACCAGCGCCACATGAACTTTTAAGAAAACCAAATGAAGAATTTAATTCTTCAATTAACTCTAGTGTTAATAATAATCAATCACAACAAACATCATCATCATCATCATCATTATTTTCAACAATTACTACAGCAACGAATATGTTAAATTCTTTTACATCATCATCAACAACAACAACAAAAACAGTTGAAAATACGAAAGAAATGATTGTAATTGATAAACAACATATTCTTATGTTTATTCTTGGAATTATTGTTGGAATTCTCTATTCATTTTATATATCAATTGAATCAAATTTTTTCTTTCTTGTATTTTTTACATGTTGTATATGTATATTAACATCACGTTATTATTCGATGCAAATGAAACATCGTACAAATGTATTAATTACAACAGCTATGTTATCAGGATTTAAACCAGATTTTATGAAAAAATTAAGTCTTGTTTATACTCTTGTATCTGATGCTTGGATTATATTTGCATTTTATTTTGTTTCTTTTTGTTTAACATATGTCGTATGTTCTTCATTTTGAAAAATAAAAATTAAATAAACTTGCACATTTTCTTGAAGATTAAAATATATTAAGAATGAATGAGTTGATTTATTTGAAATCAATAGTAAAACTTTGTTTTTTTGGTTTTTGACAAACATATTTTGTAAATTAAAGTGGTGGAAAAAAGTTTAGAAATAACGATTTTTTTGGTTTTTTTTCATGATTTTAAGCACGTAGCTCCAATCCAAATAGTGATTTTAATAGCCAATGAAGGTTTATATCCAATACACTTTATAGCAAGATTTCACAGATGAACAACGATGGCAAGGCTCGTTAAAAACCGAACACGGTATTTTTCAGGTTCTAGAAGACTTTGCCAGAGCTATTTTTGAACGGTGCCATCTTAAATAACACAAAATTCTGAGTAAAATAAAGTGTCGCTGAGTTTTCTACAAACTTCTCATAAAAAGTTACAAACATCACAAAAATCATGAAAATACGAATTTTTTTTAAAAATCAACTAAAAACGCCTTTTTCACGATTTTTGTGATGCTTGTAGGTTTTTATGAGAAGTTTGTAGAAAACTCAGCGACCCCTTATTTTACTCAGAATTTTGTGCTCTTTAATATGGCACCGTTCAAAAGTAGTTCTGGCAAAGTCTTCTAGAACCTGAAAAATACCGTGTTCGGTTTTTAAGGAACCTTGCCATCATTGTTCATCTGTGAAATCTTGCTATAAAGTGTATTGGATATAAAACTTCATTGGCTATTAAAATCACTATTTGTATTGGAGCTACATGCTTAACATTATAAAGAAACCAAAAAAATCGTTGTTTCTAAACTTTTTCCCATCACTTTAATTTGTGTTTCGATCAAGGTCACCAAATTGCAAACAGTTTATGTGAATTTGATTCAAAGGCAAATTCATGTTCCAAATTCAAATCTAAATTCAAACATTAATTCGAAATATAAATATGTTCTGGATTTCAAGATCTCTGCCCTCAAATTTCAAATCTCTTCTTGATTTGTTTCATCCGTAACTCTAGACCCACACCTAGTCATATCAAGTACTTTCAGAATCCAACATTCTCAACTATATACATTCCTTTTATTATCGGGGTTTTTGCTCTTTTCTGCTCACCAAAGCAAATTTCAATTTTGATTAAGAGAATTTAAAATTTGACTAAATTTTAATTTTGACCATAACAAAGATATTTTGATTATATACATTCAAGTGTATTCAGTACTATAATAATATTGAGATAATATATAAATTAAATTATATAAAATAAAAACAAAACCTTTTTTTCATCTTTATTCCATTTGAATTTGTGGACATCTAGGTGGACACATACGTGTAGAACAGCTTAAAAGAAATCGAACATGTGTTAACCTTGTTTTTTTTCGTTTTTTTAAAGAAAAATTTGTTATTTCATTGTTTTCCACAACTCGGATATATTTTTAATTTGGCTCATCCGATACATACAGAATGAGTCCATATGTCATTTGCAATGTTGTTGCAACGTTTTTCAGGGTTTCACGGATTTTTTCTAATGGAAATCAGTGTCCTATGTATTTCCTATATAGTGGAAGAGAATCCTATATGCATGGTGCTTTCCAATTTCTATATTTTCGCCGATTGGCGCTACGAAGCCTTCTGAATTGCATCTTATATCTTTAATAAATATTGGAGATTTAATCATTCTAACCAAAGAATATGATTATAAGTGACGGCACTACAAAATATTGCACCCCCTTCTAAAACTCTCAATCCCGAATATTGATGTCAAGAAATATTTCTGATATATTCTTTATTTTTTAGGCTTAGAAGTGAACGTAAATGGAACATGATTTCGTGTAGAATCTAAACCAAACACCTTATTATTAGTTGGCGGTGAATTTATTCAAAGATGGACAAATAATTACTGGATATCTATATTACATCGTGTTGCAGCAGTGAAACAATTAAGATATTCAGTATTATTCTTTAGTGGACCAGATCAGAATTGTGTTATTCAAACATTGCCATATAAAAAATGTCTACAGCAACAATCAAAATATGCTCGAATTACTGCATACGAACATGCAGAACGAAGAACAACAGCTGCATCACGTAACTAATATCGCAATTGTATAAAAAAAAAACTTTTCACTAATCCATTTGTTCTTTGTTTCAAAGATGATTAATAAATAATAATCATATAAAATAAATGAAAATCGAATCAAGAAGAGGCTAGAGTGTGGGTGAGTGTGGGTGTAAATTAAGTCAACAACTATACCCATATCCACATCCGAACAGATTCTGATGAAGCATTGATAAAATCTAAGCAGAATTCTTTCTGTTATTCCTATCAATGTCCTGAGTAAGATCGGGAGTGAGTTTTAGTAGGATCCTTTATTCTTAGTCAATAAACAACTCAACAGGTACTTAAAAAAATCCAGATAAAGATCCTGTTTCAAAATGAGATATCCTGCTAGTCAGTATTACTTAAATTCGAAACAGGATCCTGAGAATAAAACTTAACATGGATCTTCAAATTCAGGATCTTGAAAGATTCGTTCATGATTTCTAAAGGAATAATAGGACTGAGACTAAAGTAGCAAGCTACCTAAAGTTCTGACAGCATTCAACCAACGGACAAAAAATAGATCCTTGCATCCTAATAGATTGTATAATAGATTTATCGAAATGGTGTCATAAGCTGTCATAACTTACCGTAGTTGACTATAATTCAACAGAATTCACTACAGTCTATTAAAGACAATCAGAATGCAGCGGAAGCCACTAGACATTACAATAATATGAAATTGATAGGAGAAGTGTGGATCCTCATAGGTCCTAAAAACGCGCAAAATTCATGACGGACATGCCAAAGTTTACCCAGATATATAAGAATCTCAGTGTCCTCAATCTTTTTTTCTACTTAGTCACAAATTTTGAAGGCATTTTTTCCTTAGTCGCTTTGAGCCCTGATGGATCCTTGCATCCATTAGGATCAGCTCTTTCATCTTCATTTTGGTACACTTCGATAAAACTTATCCTATACATCATCAGGATCCCGGATTCGCTCTTTATCTCTTGAATTCTATCTGATTTTGCGAAACTCTGCTTCACTTCGTGTTGTTCTAAAAGACTTTGAGTAAAGGAATTCCATAGATTCTCGTGTATTCCCAGATCCAAAAGGTTCTTGATTCCCTTTGACATACATGCGTAATGTTACCATACGATGATATTGTGCAATATTAGCAACATAAAGGAACGAGTGAATACTGTTATGGCTTCGTGAAGACAGATGATTGTACAATTTATTAGAATCTGCTCAAACACTCAAAATGTATATATATATATAGATTTCTCGTCGACAAAGAACTAACGATCATTTATTCTAGACTTATTATCTTGATCATAATCAATCTAATTATGAAACAATTTTTTCATCAAATATTTTTATGTTTTAAATATTCTATGATGAAAATTATTTACAGTAAGTACAATATAAATGTGGAGTTTTTTAAAAGAAAGATATTTTACATATATGTGCTTACTTTATAAATAAATTTTGAGATCGCGCTGTTGCAAAAATTAATTGTCAAATGTAAATGTTCTTGCCTGTTTTTATAGGGATCACTTATTCCATACATTTTCGTTGTATAACTCATCTTACGTTGTTTTAGTTATTATGATGACGTTTTTTCGATAATGTGACACAGAACTGATGTGATTAAAGATATTGAACTAATCGAAGACTTTCTCGTCTGAAAAAATTTTATGATGACTATCTCCCTGTTTTAATTTAGTATTTCGTGCAAGAACTTGTTATTATCTTATTTTTATGCAAATAAATTAAGTGAACAACTGAAACAAATAGAATGATATATTAATGCCGAATTGTAGAATTAAACATATTCACAAAATCAGAAGCTATCAATAGACTTCATTTGGTTGGGAGGCACCTACAGGTCTGGCCAAGTCAGACTGCAGGCCACTTTGTGAATTTTAATCTGGTCTGCAGGCATTTCGAGCTAGATCAGGTCAGATCAGAAAAAAGTAGTCTGACGGCAGCTCTCTTATAGAAATATAAAGAAAAATTGTGTCGATTTTGTTTATTTTTGTCTTGTAAAAATGTAGTTATTAAAAACTCATAATCAAAAAAATTCTGCTGGTGTATGTTCTTCATTTGAAATTCCGATTTCTGATGGTATTAATTGAAAATTACTTAGATTTTCAATTGGACGTGTGATTGATAATGAACTGCGTCGTGGAGAAAATTCAGTTGATTCGCCTAAATAAAGTGGATAGAATGGTTCAATAGAATCAACTCGAAAATTTTCATTGGAGACATTAATTTTAAATTTTTTGACATTTAAACAATAAATTTCATCTTCCTGTGTCCATATATAAACAATACTAGATGAATTTAATTTGTATGTTGTTGGAGAATTAATTAGAATAAACTGCGTTGAATCAAAAATAGTTTCTTCTTCATTTGAATAACGTATTATTGTTCCTGATAAAAGAAATAATCTTTGATTGGATTCGAGATCAATTGTTAAATCTGATTGATTTTTATAAAATGAAACTTTTTCATTTAAAAGTATTATTAATTGTGAATGAGTTAAATTGATAGATTTTCTATAATTATTCATTATCATATGGAGTGCTATTTCATTATAAATAGAACGAGAGATTGTCTCATCAGATAACAGCAAATTTAGTAAAGCGGAATCAATTAAATATGTTTCGACCAGTCCATCGTTAGCGGCATAAGCACCATAAGATAAAGACTTTTCAGAGAATAATGCTTCAATCCCTATTATACTACCACATTTGTAATAAGTAGGTATTGTATCATCTTTACATTGAACCATACCACGAACAATCAAATAGGCAGTCCATACTCTTTGATGTCTTCCTAATAGAAGAGCACCAGGTTGGAACCATTTGTGCTTAGACATCATAAGAGATTTCCATTGATTTTTTTCATTTAAAGAAAGTGATTCGAAATAGGGTATTAAATCAAAAGGATCTTCAAGTATTTTTTTCTGATTTTCTGGCATTTTTATACGTCCATATTCAAGAGAAAATAGTTTATTTTCAATTAATTCTAGAATATGTGAATATTCATTTTCTTCTAACATACCAGTTTCATATAATTGAATAATTGCAACAGATTCATATTTTAAAAGCATTTGAGCACATCGTCTTGTCATTTGTACAGTCCAACAAAGTGGATATGATTGTTGTAAATCAAGAAGTATATGCATTGCATTTAATTGATACATTTTAACTTCGTTACATACTTCTTTCATTATTCTTCCATTTATATTTGATAATTCAGGAAATTGTAATCGGATATTATCCAATCGTGTTTTAGCAGAATGAAAACCTAAATGATAAAAACTATTTTTATTTTAAATATTTGCTATCAAGTGTTTTTTTATTCTTTGGTTTCGCTTGCAATCTTAAAAAACAAAAGAAATTAATTTTTTGAATTTTTAAAAATCATAGAATTTATATTCTTGTTCAAATATTTAAATCTTTCATTCTCTTCTGAATACGTTTCTGTTCACTTTGAAAAAAAACTTATTTAAATATATTTTCGTTCTTAAAACTAAAATTTTCTTTTTAAAAGGATTAGTTAACGTATATAGGGTAGATATTTATACCTTCCCTCCACAGATCAGAATAGACATTACCATGGATGCTTCACAGATCGTGACAGACACGTTAGAAATGACCTATCAAAGACATGATAGACATCTTAGCAACGACTAGAGTCCATCTGGGTTGGTTCCAGACCCTATAGAGCCAGAAAATTTTGGACCCGACGAGCTTTAGCAGCGACACATCACATACGATTTTGACATACGGTCATCGATTGTACATTAATAACGTCTTTTTATTCTCTTTCTCGTAGAGAAGTGTCTAGCAAGAATAAATTGTTTGCTTGTATGTCCGCACTTTTTGAAATTGTATAAATAAATAGTTTGTTGATAGTTCAGAAACACCATTTCTACGAGAAAGAGCTGAACGAGTCCCCGGACGAGCGTTACTTGTAATATATATGCACTATTTCGTTATTGGATTTCCAGAGAATTAAGTAAAACGTAGATAGAGAAATATGTTCCAAAATAGATAGAACAAAACAATCTCTGTATAATTAGTAATAGCAGCTATATCGTGTTGTACATTTTAATCATGCAGGGATTGAGCGCTCACAGCTTTTTGTTTAGTTTTCTCGTGTATATTTTGTTTTGCTAATATGGAGTGTTGTTACATATCGAGAGAATCGGAAGATACATTGAAAGATGAGAGTTGTAATGTAATTTTTTCTAAAGATAAGCTTTCAAATAGATTATCTTGTTAAGCGTAATTCTTATTCTCAATGTTTTTCATTCTCTCTAACTTGAATTTCATTTGTTTCATATATTATAGAAAGAATTATTCTTTCTAAAAATGAATAACCTTTTTCTTTAAAAAAGAAAAATAAAATCAAGATTTTTTTTCGATTATATTAATAAGATTTGTAATATTTTATGATATTAACTTACTTAGAGCTAATTCAATAGTTCGAAACATATGATCAAAAAAGAATTGATTTATCCATCGATTCATAAAATTAAAATAATTAAATTTCATAAGAAATCGAAGAAGAATTGTTAATCGAAAATGTTTAACAATTAATTGCCAATGAAGTTGAAATGAATTTTTTTGTTTTGCTTCTTCGACTGATTTAATTAGAATATTAAGTGTACTTCGACGAATCATTCCAAGATACCATTGTTTTTCATAATCAATTGATGTTGCTGTTAGAAAACGAGTAACTAATACATTTCGAATATTTTGATTATGTATATTATCATTATATCTAGTATTAATAATAGGTAATACTGTATCTGAATTTCTTGAAAATCTGTTTGATGGTATTGGACTACTTGGCATAGAATTTGTTTGATAAATGGTTGGAATTATTTGTAATTCATAATTTATACTATTACTTTGACGAGAAGATCGTCGAGACGATATTGAAGAATTTTCATGTATTATTGTTGATAATTGTTGATGCAAATTTGTATGATTTTCTTGATCTAATTCTTCTAATAATTGATCAGGTAAATATTGATTCAACATTCTCCAATCAACACCTGCAAATTTTTCATCTTGTTTCATTGTTGATAATTTCCATGATGTTTGTCGTCGCATATGTTCAAGTGCTTGTAAAAGAACTGTTTCACTTTCCTTTGTACCTAAAATAATTATTAAGTCTTATACAATTTAATTTAATAAAAAATTATTAACTGTACGCACCGTGATGTAAACCTAAAATTTTTACTAAAAATTTACTGCCTGTTCCATTAATGACTAAAGTAAGTAATACAATCATAGATACATGAAATAGAAAACGATCACGTATGACTATATCAATATTTTTATCCAAACTAACAATAAGAACTAAAATAAGAGCCATACTACCTCGTAGACCACTGCATACTAAAATAATACAATCTTTCCATGATAAATGTACACCAGTACACTTTATTAATGGATACAAAATGCCAACAGTTAACATTCGTCCAATATGAATTATTATATATAATACAATTGAAAATCCAAAATCTTTTGCTGTTATCGTAGTAGCTGTACCAATAAATGATCTCGCTAGAATAAGACCAGTAATAGTAAAAATAAGAATATTTATAAAATAAGTAGCAAGTCGCCAAGCACTTGCCATCGCAGATTGAACATTATTACTGATACAATATTTGTATTTACTCATATATAAACCCATTGTAACAAGTGCAAGAACAGCTGATACACCAAGTTCAACATCAGCTATATAAAAAATAAGATAAGCAAGAGCAAAGGTAAATGTTATTTCAACTTCAAGTTCATTATTGATTCGATTCAATATAATTACACTGATTATACCACAAGCTAAGCCAAAAGCAGGACCACCTAAAAATATTCATTCGACAATTGTATTGAAAATATTTCATAATTCCTTTAGTCTTTCAGATATTCACGTTAGAGAAATGAATGAACCAAAAATAACTAATGAACAATAAGCGAAAAGAAGTATTTATATGTGAACACACAAAGGATACAGAGATTAGACAATTTCAATAATGAACATAGGCATTAATGAATCCCTCATAGAAAGCGAAAAAAAACATGCTACAAATTTTCAACAAGATTTTTGTTAATCATGGATAGTTCTTTTGTCGAAACTAACGAGCAATTTTAAACAAAAAGAATTTTCAGCTTATGAAATTTAAATATAAACTATAGAATGAGTTAGGAATGAGTAAATTTGTTTTTGAATTTGATTTAATTAAGTTAAGTATTAAGTGGTTTTACTTAACACTTAATATTATGTTTAAGTGATTACGTTAGGTCAATATCAATCAGTTGCGTGTTTTTCTCAACTCCAATACGGATTCAACATGATATTGTCCGAGTCACTCAAGAGAGAATCCGTACTAAGTTCGGACAACATGATGTTCAGTCTTTATCATAATAGAGACAACTTTGCTAAAAATCTGTTTGATTGAAATGAAAAAGCTTCTAGCCAATTACATTCCCTCTAGAACTTTCTCCATTATTGTAAAAAAGCATATTGTTCTCCGAGCTTATCAAGAGTTCTCTCTTGGATGGCTCGAACAATATTATGTTGAGTCTGTATTTGAGTAGAGAAAAAGCCGAAAATTAAATGATATTTGTCTTATGCAATTTCTTAAACTTAATTTTGCGCTAAGTTAAATTGTTCACATCTAGAATAAGTGATTAACTTACCAATACTATATTTAACAATATTTATAATTATATTTTTTGCACTATGATCTTCACCAATGACAATATTATGAAAAATAAGAAAGAGAACAAATGCTGAACCATCATTTAATAAAGATTCAGAATCAATCAATGAAGCTAACGCTTTACTTGCACCAGAATCATGTAATAAAGCGACAACAGCAACTGGATCAGTTGCACTTAAAATACTTCCAAATAGAATACCAAGTAACCATGACCAGTTATATGGAAACATATAAACTGCACATATTGCAATAATTACAGTTGATATGAGTACACCAGGACCAGCCATAAGAATCGCTGATAATAATTGTTGTTTTATAACATGAAAATGACCATTAAATGATGAATCAAATATTAATAATGGTAAAAAAATATAATATATTAAATGCGGATCTATTTGACCCAATTGAATTTCTCCAATAGAAAAATTATTATTTGTATTTTTTATTTCTGTTATAATAATACCAATTATAAATCCCAGAATAAGAACAGCAATTGTAAATGGAAGTGGAATTTTATTTTTTAAAATTCTTGAAAATATTATTTTACATATACATGCTAATAATATAGAAAATGATAAAAATAAAATCACAGCACTACCCTTTGATTCTTCTTCATCACGATTATTATTTGTTGAATTTGTTTCTATTTCCATCTACAAAGAAAAATAATCAATTATGTCAATTTGTTGTAGTAATGGACAGAAATTTGTTAAGAAAAATAATACTAATTACAGCAGCTTTAAATTTCATACTATATTTATTTATTTATTAGTTCAAAAGTCGA